GGAGGTTGGGTGGGAAGGAGGCCCCCCAGGAGGAGGAGGAGGAGGAGGAGGAGGAGGGGAAAGAAGTGGGGGTGAGGTGGATGAGGTAGAAGATGCTGTGGATAAGGAAGAGGAGGAGGAGGGGGAAGAGGGGGAGGGAAGGGGTGGTAGGCTTGGGGTGGTGGAGTAGGAGGAGGTGGGGTAAGAGGAGGAGGAAGAAAAAGAGATAGGTGGATGGATGGATGGATGAATTGGTGGATGGATGGATGGATGGATGGATGGATGGATCTATGGATGGATTGATGGATAGATGGATGGATGGATGGATGGATGGATGGATGGATGGATGGATGGATGGATGGATGGATGGATGGACAGATAATACTGAAGATGAATATTCTCCACCTCTTTTTCTTTCCTTTGCGAAAGAAATCCCGTTCGAAAACAGCGTAGAACAAGTGGCGTCCAAAAGAAACTCGAAAGTGTATTCAACCAACGGTCGTGTTATAGCCTTGTACTACCCGCTCATGCAGCATACCAATTTAAGGCTGAATAAATTCTGCATCATCTGACACATTTATATTTCATCTATACTTAGAGACGCCCGAGATATGGTCACTCAGAATTGACCGTAAAAAAAGTCAGCCTTGGCAAATTGTGCGCAATCAGAGAAACGCAAAATTGCATTCGCACATTATATTGAATTGCATCAACATTGGTGGAATGGACTTGCATTGAATATCAAATGAAAAGAGAATATAATTGTTTCTACAAAGAACAGCTTATTCTGATGATATTTTCAAACAGATTGGAGAACAGAGCTTTACAAATACCACACAAAACATGGACTTAACATAACACGTGCTCATAAGTATTAATTCTGATTTTGTTCAGGAACCAATGGTTTCGTGTCGATCACGGGACCTTTTTTGCACATGGATTGTGTTGATTAGATTTGGTACATACTCTTCTGTCAGTGAGGAAAAGAGGCCAAGAAAATGCCATGGTTTTGGGTGGTCTGGGGTGGAATGAACAACGCCCTCATGAGAATCACCGGATAGCTTGGTTTATTTAGTGTACTTCAACGCACGAGTGCTGGAACGTCATGTTTTACTCTTATTTACGTCATGGTGTCACTCAAGTGACATCGCCATGCTTAGCAAAGAACCTTTTCAGAGGGCCAGTGCCACTAGATAGTTCTTGAACTTAACATTAAATGTGCTCATTGTTATTTCGCTTAGGAGAAAATGACATAGACACAAAACTAATTTCTCCTAAGCGAAATAACAATGAGCACATTTAATGTTAAGTTCAAGTTTTGTATGGCATTTGTGATTGCTTTATTTTACCGGTTTTTAAAAAACTGGGGTGACAAATTAACAAAATAGAATATTGTTTATTGCAATAAAAAAAATTTCATTCATCTGATAGCATGTCCATTCTATCAATATTAATGCTCCTCAATACATGCGCGAAGACAATTTTACGTTTTTTATATATTTCGCCCAATTTTACCAAGTCTGATTTTTAAAGGTCAGTTTTGGGTGACCATATCTCGGGCGCCTCTAAACATAGATGAAATATTAATGTGTAAGATGATGCATAATTTATTTAGCTTTAAACTGGTATGCTGCATGAGTAGGTAATGTGAGGCTTTTACACGATGATTTGATGATAACATTTTCAAGTTTCTTTTGGACACCATTGTATAATATGATGTGACTGTGTCGATTGATTGTAATATTGTTGTATTTCAGGTTGTCTGACAATGCGACAAGGTGTATTTGCCTGCTTCCTACTGCTTTGGCAACAAGGTCGGAATCTTTTTAGACTTCTGATATTGTGGTGCACAATGATAATAATATATAATATGTAGTCAAAGATATCTTTGCAATACAAAATCTTTTTATTAAGAGGTAGAGTACCCAAAAATGAACGCCTTTATGTTCTAGAAATCTCCCTCGCTCTCTCTCTCTCTCTCTCCCTGTCTGTCTGTCTGTCTGTCTGTCTGTCTGTCTGTCTGTCTGTCTGTCTGTCTGTCTGTCTGTCTGTCTGTCTGTCTGTCTGTCTCTCTTTCTCTCTCTCTCTCTCTCTCTCTCTCTCTCTCTCTCTCTCTCTCTCTCTCTCTCTCTCTCTCTCTCTCCCTCTCTCTCTCTCTCTCTGTATGTGTGTGTGCATGTGTGTCCATTGGAAACTTAATATTGACTTACAGTACAGTCGAAACTCTCGTTGTCGTCTTAGACAGTTTCATTATAACGTGAAACGTTTTCAAGGGAGGAAATTGGAAGGGGCGTTTGTACGGGTCTTATACAGATAGCCTTAAAGCAGGTTCGACTGTGTTTTGCACGTTCGGGGTTTCTTGTCTCTGTTGGGGCATATCTGGGTATTTGTTAAGTCAATTTTGAAAGACGCAACAACAGCAATACCAGCACCATCAGCACCACCATCAACAACAACAACAACATCAGCATCACCTCACAACCACCACCACCAAGCGTAGCTGCCTGAAAAAAACACCCAAACAGAAACGAAAGAGCCAACATTAACAACAACAGCAGCGGTGTCCCTGGCGAAGAGCACGCTCTTCGGGGCTCCAAACATTTCGAACGGATAGGCTACCACACACACACACACACACACACACACACACATACACACACACACACACACACACACACACACACATACACACACACATACACACACACACACAACAACAACAACAACAACAACAACAACAACAGTAGCAGCAGCAAAAATAACAACATCAACAACAATAGCAATGGCAACTACAACAACAGTATTAACTATCAGAACGAGCTCCACCACCTTAAAAAGTGTCACGATATGACCACAACTAAAACAGCAACAACAACGTTAACAACAACAGTAACAACAATAACTGTAACAGCTAGAAAAAATAAACAAACAAACAACATCAGCAGCAACAATAAATGAAGTTAAAAGGACAATAACGTCTTAAGCAGTAGCAACAACAACAAATGCCCGGCCCCACTAAAGTTTTAGTTACTTTTGAATGGATTCTACCTTTTTCAGTAGTCCTACTATAGCTCGTTCAACTCTAACACGTCTTGGTTTTTTTTCCAGATAACTTTTGACTGCCTGCACCGATTTTAATTACACTTTTACTTGCAATCTAGAACCAATTTGTCTTAATCACAAATAATTAATTTTTTATTGTTCTGGCCCGAGTATTAAAAAGTTTTTTCTTCTTTTTTCTTTGTTAAAAATGATTGATAGAGTCAAACAATAATTTGTAATGACTTACAGCGTGACTCGTATGATGTCGTTATACTTAGTATTTTTAAACTACAAATGAAAGCTGATATTTTTCTTTGCTTTCTCTTCCTACATGGCTCCTTGCTTGCGCGCATTAATTTTCTGAGTTTGTAAATTCCCAGTTGTCATGTGTTGAAAAGGGAATTTTGCGGGTTTGAACCAAAGAAAGTAGATTGAAAGCTATGTTGAACCATAGTCCAAAATTGAACAGGTAATATGTTACAATATTTTCAACCCCAGATGGATGAGCAGGAAAAACCCCCCCACCTCTGGCAGAGAAATGTGCCTCTTCGCACCAACACACGACATTGAAAAAAATATTGCTTGAAAATAAAGATAAATCTGGATTGTCATAATACATGTAGGCCTATACATTTTGGTGTATTGAAAATCTCAAGGCTCCAGATAACTGGAACAAAAAAGTTGTTCACATAAAACTATGATGATGTTTTTGAGTTGGACGAGTTATAGGCCTATTCGTTACCATGTTCCCTTGCTAGGGGAAAACAACAAAAATCTTCAACGCTTGACGATTCCATTATCTTCTAGAAAGTTACGACTCATCATCATCCAGTGCCAGATCTGCAACAGACACTGGCGATCATGGTTCTATATTCATTCCTTTGCTCGGATGCTCTAAAAAAAAAAAGCCACGTTTCCATGATCTTTCCCTGTTACCCATTTGTTTAGGTTTCCTAAGTATGTTGATCTGGGCCTTCGACTGCCTCGCTTGCCCTCCATTTTGCCAGTGAGAGCTAGATGTTCAAGACCCTTATGTCTATTCAGGTGTCCCAAAAACAAGTTAAGACTACCGGAGTATATTTATGATTTATCTTTTCTGTTCTCTTGCAGTCCTCTGTGAACGACTTGACCTGAATGCAACTTATGGAGAAAAGGGTAAGATTGCTATCTATCAATCTATCTATCCATCTATCTATCTATCCATCTATCTATCTATCTATCTATCTATCTATCTATCTATCTATCTATCTATCTATCTATCTATCTATCTATCTATCTATCTATCTATCTATCTATCTATCTGTCTGTCTGTCTGTCTGTCTGTCTGTCTGTCTGTCTGTCTGTCTGTCTGTCTGTCTGTCTGTCTGTCTGTCTGTCTGTCTGCAATGAAATACTTCTAAGTACGTGCGATTCGATCCACATGGTCTTAATATTATTCTTTCCTTTTTTTAAATGCAATAACACTGATTTCTTGCAAAATTGCAACTTGGCATTTTAATTCTTTCTACAATAAAATGCTGTTATTTATATATGTAAGATTTGACCCATACAACCTATATTAAAACAAACAAACAAACAAACAAACAAACAAACAAACAAACAAAAACAGGTAAAGAATATTGTTTTTTTTAATGCATTTACACCATTGTGTTTTAATTCTTACATTAGGATACATGTATCTTCTGTATGCAATAAGATTTGTTCTTATGCATTTGCAAAACGGATACAACTGGCTGTAATCGTAGTGATGCATGGAGCCCTGCCACAGGACGGGGGTTGGGGTGGGATGGAGGTGGGGGATACTTTATGTCTACCTGTATGTCAAAGCCACCAATAGTGGGACAGCGGGTGATTGGCAGGTGCTCTAGTATGGGGCTGTTCAAATATAATCTTACAACTTTTCGGGGACTTTTTGACCCCCCCCCCCCCCTTACACTTTTCTTTCTTTTGCCCCCCCCCCCCGTTATATTACATTGTTCGCTTATAATACTAATAATATATGACTTTTTGCATGGATACGTGTTCCAATCATTGTTCCACGCGCTTTACAATATATTCATGAAGAACATGCATATGTGTTCCGCGCAATTTACCGACCAGCGCAGCGCCGCCCGTTTTACCGATCATATAATTGCAAGGCAATCTTAAGATTGCGTTGCACATTTAACGATTGCAAAATTCACTTCCATCTTTATTCTTTTACTCACATCAAGAAACATTCACGTATATTTTCTAAAGTGCAAAAATATGAAAATTAAAATTAAAATTAGATATGAAATGGAAGAGCTCGCAAGAATGATACAATTATATGATCGTTAAAACGCGCAGTGCAATCTTAAAAATGCCCCACAATCTTAAGATTGCCACACAATTATACGATCGTTAAAACGTGCATCGCAATCTTAAGATCGGTAAATTGCGCGGAACACATAAACGTATGCACATACTATAATATGCAGTTCTGCATTTACTAAAAAAAATAACAAAGTAGATCATTTAAGCAAAATATTGCATGCACTCTTTCTTACTAATAAGGAAAAACATTGAGACTCATGTCAATTTCTAAAGCGCCTTAATTAAAAATAAAACAAATTACAGTGGAATTCGGGACCGAAAAAAGTGTCGACTTTGAGCAAGATGGACTATATCCACTGTACTACATGGACAGTGTACTCGCCAATTGAAGATGACAGCTACAAATACAAAATTACAAAGTACCTGGAAACAAGATATTAGCTCAATTTCAGTGAGTATAATTCAGAAGTTGTAACCAAAACAAGAGATAATGAGTGAACAAAGTAATTGGAGGTGTGTACACCACTCGCCCAGGATCTAAATATCTCTTCTTAAATGAATTCATCTTGGGATCTAGCTAAAAATGTTGACTTTACGCAAGGTTAACACTCAAGCTGTTGACTGTACATGGTGTATCAGAAACACAAATACTTAAACAAAGAAGGTAAGAAACGGGACCACGTGAGGTGTTTGACTGTAAGCAAGAGTTGACTTTATCAGAATTCCACTGTATCTGTCATTACTATTACTGATCATTATGCTTAAAACAAAAAGTGAAATTAGTTTTTATCAACAAAGGCAGTGTTCATCATTATGTCAAAAATATTTTTTAAAACAGGGGCGTCTGCTGAGCTGTCTTCCAAATATGGCTCTTGTTCCTCCTCTTCTTCCTCCACCTCCAGTTTTTCCTGTGTAAAGCCCTGTGTCTTTTCAATGCTGCAATACTTGGAAAATATTTTCCCCATTCCCTATGGCCTGTGCACACCATGCAGCCTTTATTGACCAAGGCCACCCTTTTTTCCTTGTTTTTTCACCTCACAAAAGTGTAATATTACATTGGTTCAAGACCCCCCCCCCCTTTCTTACATTTTTCTTACAGGAGCCAAAGACCCCCCTCCCCTTTCCAGGTGTAAGATTATATTTGAACAGTCCCTTTGGTTTCTTCTTTCTTTCCTATCAAACATCTATCGTCCCTATCTAAGACTCCTTTTTTTTGCATATTAGTACACTGTACATGTTTCTTATCATCATCATCATCATCCGGTGCCTTGCCGACTGGCGTGGGCCTTCATGGACCTCCACTTCACCCTGTCCTGTGCTGCAGCAATGGTGTCTGTTGTTCTTGCTGCTCCCAGCCATGTTGTCATCTTGTCCAGTATCTTTTCTCTCTGTCTGCCTCTGCTTCTCTTTCCATCAAACTTTCCTGTTTTTACAATATTCTCTAATGCTTCTTTCCACATTGTGTGTCCGAAGAAATTTGCCTGTCGTTATCTTATATCCGTGATAAGTTGTTTTCTATAATTTGCTTCAACCAGGACTTCTTCATTTGTTTTTCTAGCTGTCCATGGGATACGTAGCATGCATGTTATGAACCACAACTCTGTTGCTACAATTGTTATTCCAGCTGTTTATTGATTGTCCACGCTTCGCACCCGTATAATAGGATTAGCTCGATGTAACTTTTCAGTACTCTTTTTCTTGTTTCCAGTGACAGATTGATGTTTGTTAGTATCTGTTTCATCTTGTGGAAGGTTGCTTTTGCTTGGCAAATGCGGCTTTTAATTTCGGTGTGACATCTACCATCTGATGATATAATGGTCCTCAAATATTTAAAATGTTGTACTTGCTTGAGGGTGGTATCATTGATTTTGATATTGCATGTTGGGGTTGGAGTTTTTCTGCTTATCACCATCGTTTCGGTTTTCTTGATGTTTAGGCTTAAGCCCATGTTGTCACTTTCTTGAACGATGACATTTAATAGATTCTGCAGGTGTTCTTCATCATCTGCTATTAGGACTGTGTCATCTGCATATCTTAGATTGTTTATATAATGTCCCCCTATCGAGATACCAGGCATTTCTTCTATGTGTCCCATGATATTTTCACTATACAGGGAGAACAAGTCTGGAGAAAGTACACATCCTTGTCTGACTCCTCTTTTAATCTGTATGTATTCGCTGATGTTGTTTTCTATTCTCATTGCAACAGTTTGATCCCAGAACATGTTCTTGATAATCCTTAAGTCTTTCCCGTCGATATTAAGAACTTCCAGCATGTCGATGATCTTGTCGTGCCTAACTTTTTCGAATGCCTTGGTGTAGTCTATAAAACATAAATTATGAAGATCTTTCTGAACTTCTAGGGCACGTTCTATTGTTGTTCTGATGACATATTGCATTTACAGTGCCTTTGCCTTCAATAAATCAACACTGTTCTTGGGCTATTTCTGGAAGAATTTTATTTCGTATTCTCATCCTAATTAATCTGAGTAATATTTTTGTTATGTGGCTCATGAGGCTGATGGTACGATGCGTTTCACATTCGTTTGCATTAAGTTTCTTTGGTAAAGCTATGAAGATAGATTTTGACAAGTCTGATGGAATATGTCCAGTGGCATACATGTTGTTAAGAAGTTTTGTCAGCGTGGTGATTCCAAAGTCTTCTAAAGCTTTAATCATCTCTGTGGTAATGTTGTCCGGTCCTGCAGTTTTCCCATTATTCATCTTTCGTAGTGCCTTGATAACCTCTTCTTTCATGATTGGTGGTCCCTCGTTGTTATTTTCCACTCTTCTTTGTTCATCTCTTTTGTCATTGTACAGGTCACCGATATATTCTGTCCAACGTTCTAGTATCTTGTCTTTGTCCATGATGATATTCCCATCCTTTGATATGAGGCATCCTGTTGATCCACGTGTTCTTGTATGGGAAACCTCTTTAATTTTTCTGTACAGATCTTTTGAGTTCGCATTGGAAAGATTTTCCATTTCCTCACATTCTTCTTTTAACCAGGTCTCTTTTGCTAGATTACATTTATGTCTGATTTCTTTATGAAGATTCACATATCTTCCCACATTGTTTTTATTTGTTCTTCGCTCCTCCAAAAGATTAAAAATTTCTTCAGTCATCCATTTCTTCTTTGCTTTTGTTGTCCTTTCTGGTATGTCGTCTTTTGCAGCCTCATTTATAGATGTTTTAAGCTGTTCCCATTGTTTTTCTATGTCTTGTATTTCTTCTAAGGGCCCGAATTTGTTCTGTACAGTTATTCTGAATTTATCTTGCATTTCTTTGTTTGACTGTGGTAATGCCATGTTTAGTGTCGTATTCTTGTTCTTGCTCATGTGTGTTTTTTTTCAACCTGATTCTAAATTTTCCCACTACGGGTACATGGTCACTGTAACAGTCTGCACCTGGCCGCGTTTTGACATTTAGCATCCCGTTTTTGTATCTTTTCTTGATCATGATATAGTCGATCTGGTTGCAAGCGCTGTCTCCAGGACTTTTCCAGGTCCATAATCTTCTTGGTGGTTGTTCATACCAAGTGTTTCCAATAATCATGTCATTCAGGATGGCCCATTCTATCAGTTTTTCTCCTCTTTCATTTCTGATTCCCAGTCCATAGGGACCCACTATGTCTTCATGTCGTGTTGCTCCCACTTTTGCATTAAAATCACCCATGACTATGACAATATCTTGTGATTTGCAATGTGTCTTTGCTTGGTTTATTTCATCATAAAATTTCTCTATTTCTTCTTCTGTGCCTTCTGAGGTTGGAGCATACTCTTGGATGATGGTTGTATCGAAGGGTGATCTTTTCAGTCTCATCAACATAACCTGTCTGATATTGTCAGGTACCCCTTAAGGGTCTTCGATGTTGGCATGTCTATGATGACCGCTACTCCTCTTTCATGTTTGTCGCCTCCTGGGTAAATGATGTTATAGCTGTCGGACAATATTCTGCCAGCTCCTGTCCATCGTACTTCACATAAACCCATGCTGTTAACATTCATTCTCTTCATTTCTTTCTTGATGTTGTCCAATTTTCCTTTCTCTAGCATTGTTCTCTCATTCCAGGTTGCTATATTTCTTGTTGATTTTTCCTTTTGTGAGCAGTATCTTGATGACGATCTGGTGTCACCTGCTGTGCATGACTGACCCTACCGGACGAGGCAGTTCTTTCAGAACTCCCCTTTACGTCGTTATCTTTATTTATTGAAGTGATATGATCCATAATGTTCTAGGAAAAGAATACAGCAGTGGTTTCCCCTTGCCCTCTGCTGGATTTTTGTACGGTTTACTCTGCTAGCCTTTGTCCAAAGTGACTAACCCACAAGGTTGTGGGGGCAGGTGGCAGGTTTCGGCGCCTCCCTCTCGCCTGACAGTCTCTTTACTGAGCACATGCGGTATTTTATAGAGATAGGGTTGCCACCACCCTGTTCCACCTCGTTCTCCAAGACTGTCGCCAGTTGGTCCGCGACTGCTTATTGGTTATTCGCAGCTACCCTACATAATGTAGGCCGTTCTACTATCCGCCACCTGAGGACGCGGTGGGTCGGGGATGGTCGCCCCAGCTTTACCCACATGTTTTTTATACTTTTACTTTTACCTTTTCTGTCCTCTTATACTGCAAGGTTTCGAGGGGAAATGTAATCGTCTGATTCTCTACTAACGCCTCTAATATTCGGCACACATATGACCTTTCTGTGTTGCCAGTACCGTAAAACTCTAATTAAAGCTGAAAACAGTGAGATATTGCCTTGTATCTTAGGTCTACCTACTTTCTTCCACAGCTAACCCACTCGTTCTCAATAGTCCCTACCGTTATGTGGTGAAGACGGAGACACAGCCACCGGACGACACTCTCTTAGATGACGTCATATCTCCGCAACCGGAATTCGAGAACTCCCCACAGCAGGAGAAAGGCTCATTGACTGACTTCTATTCGAACAACGCTTTGGATGCCTCACTCGGAGGGAATGTGGCCAGTTTGTATTCTCAAGACTCTACAAAAAACCAGTGGCAGTCTCCGTTTAGTAGAGTGTACCCGGTGGCAGTAGATTCGAGTTTTAAACGTCTGGTTGAAGCAGCAGCAGTTAGTAGTAAGTCTTCAGCTCTTGGAGGATGTAATGGATGCAAATGGCCAGCTTTTTCAGTGGCGTCGGTAGTCTAGTGGTTAGGTTACGGACTCTTAGTTGTGAAATTGCGGGATCGGTGGTTCTAGCCTCAGGCCTGACGTTGTGTCCGTATGAAAGGCACTTAACACGAATTTTCTTCACTTCATCCAGGTGGGAATGGGTGCTCGGCCATAGACAACAGAATATATTGTTAGTATGTTAGTGTATTAGGGCCCCTAAAATGGCAGCTTGCACAGAATGCTTACCAGGAAGTTGAGACTGTGCTATCAAGTGTGTGGTCGTAATAATATAGATTATAAAACACCTCGAACTTCCTGTTGAGCGGGAATTTGAGCAGTACAAGTGCTATTATTATTGCTATTGTTATTATTATTATTATCATTATTATTATTACTATAAATTTGATAATAATTATTATAATTATCCTTGTTATTGTCATTGACCTTGACATTGTCATTGTCATTATCATTATTATTATTATTATTATTATTATTTTAAATTTAAAAAAATTTTAAATACGTTTTTACCATCAGGTCCAAGGATAGAGGCGTTATCCTACAGCAGGTATGCTCCAGAAGAGGAGGACTTCACTAGTATTCTCAGCGCCTTGCCAATTCATGAGGTCAAGTCAATTCAAGCTTACTCAACAATTGAGAACCCAGATCCCGAGAACGTCATCAATGTTGGACCAAAGACTTGGAGCCCGTCGAAAAAAGAGGCTGCAAAATGTAAAAACTTTACATATATTACATTTAGTGAGGTACCAAGGGGTTTTTATGGGCATTCTAATTCTGAGAATATTCAGAAGGTGGGAGTTAGTTCTACGGGTGAAAGAGCAGACGCGGACTCTGAATCTGGGCCTGTCCAAAACCCTCATGGAGAATTACTTTGCTCTGAATCTCACGGGTTCAGAACTCAGAAGACAAACCAAAGGAGCCAAACAAGGGTCGAAGAAAACGGAAACCTCTCTGAGAAATATCTTCGTACTTTTGTCGACAACTACTCGAAACATGACGACGATGACAACAGCAAAGACGACAAGGATAAAGACGACAATGATGTCCTCTTTTTTCTTTTCACTGTTGATGAAAATGGTCACATTTCTATAAAGGATTCTGATGAACGTGGTAGCGAAATGTCTAAGAGTCTGTAATCGGGAACAGATGGTGCCGAGGATGGCAAGCTGCATGGTGATGGTGGCCCTGATGGCGGTGTGAGAAAATTGGTGCAAAACAATTTTGCACAATTTGAAGATCTTGCTGAAAATTCTGCCGAGAAAGGTGACCGTGATGACGCAGATGTTATCACAAGTTACAGTGGTCCCGAAAAAGTTAAGGATCCGAAAAGCGTTTAGGATAGACATATCTCTCAATCCAAAGAAAGTATCAAGGCGGTGGAAGTTAGTAATAAAACACAGAACACAAGCTTTGAAGAAGAAACAAATGAAGAGGGTTTCGGTTCGGGCAATGGTCATGAAGATAATAGCAGTCACATCAACAGAGGAAGAGGGCTGAATCAAGGGAGACCCGTGGACAAGAAAAATCCTGTAGTCCCCCCCCCCCCAAAAAAAAATGATGCCACTGAATCACCTCTTTCCAAATGTCTGGAATAATTTCATCTACATCAAGGATAACCAATTCTTCAACCAGAGGGGATTATACAACCACCTAGGTTCAGGAGTGTATTTTAATTCTTACATTAGGATATATGTATCTTCTGCTTGCGATAAGATTTGTTACTACGCATTTGCAAAACGAATACAACTGGTTGTAATCGTAGTGATTCATGAATCCATGCCACAGGACGGGGGTTGGGGTGGGATGGAGGTGGGGGATACTTTATTTCTATCTCTATGTCCAAGCCACAAACAGTGGGACAGTGGGTGATTGGAATGTGCTCTAGCATGATTTCTTTCTTTTTCCCTGCCAAACATCGATCGTCCTTATCTCGAATCCCTTTTTTGCATATCAGTACACTGTACATGTTTCTTATACTTTTACTTTTACCTTTTCTGTCCTCTTATACTGCAAGGTTTCGAGGGGAAATGTAATCGTCTGATTCTCTACTAACGCCTCTAATATTCGGCACATATATGACCTTTCTGTGTTGCCAATGCCGTAAAACTCTAATTAAAGCTGAGAACAGTGAGGCATTGCCTTGTATCTTAGGTTACCTACTTTCTTCCACAGCTAACCAACTCGTTCTCAATAGTCCCTACCGTTATGTGGTGAAGACGGAGACACAGCCACCGGACGACACTCTCTTAGATGACGTCATATCTCCGCAACCGGAAGGCGAGAACTCCCCACAGCAAGAGGAAGGCTCATTGACTGATGTCTATGCGAACAGCGCTTTGGATGCCTTACTCGGAGCGGATGTGGCCAGTTTGTATTCTCAGGACTCTACAAAAAACCAGTGGCAGTCTCCGTTTAGTAGAGTGGACCCAGTGGCAGTAGATTCGAGTTTTAAAGGTCTGGTTGAAGCAGCAGCAGTTAGTGGTAAGTCTTCAACTTGTGGAGGATGTAATGGAAGCAAATGGCCAATTAGTAAACCAAAGGCCATGTAGTGGAATATTTCAAACTGTCATACACAACAAACCCCACAGCAGGATTGTAAAGAAATATTTCAGTCTCCATGTTGATGCTTGCCATTTTAAGTGTCATCGGTGGTCTAGTGGTTAGGTTACGGACTCTTAGTTGTGAAATTGCGGGTTCGGTGGTTCAAGCCTCAGGCCTGACGTTGTGTCCGTGGGAAAGGCACTTTACACGAATTTTCCTCGCTTCATCCAGGTGGGAATGGGTACTCGGCCATAGACAGTAGAATATATTGTTAGTATGTTAGTGTATTAGGGCCCCTAAAATGGCAGCTTGCACAGAATGCTTACCAGGAAGTTGAGACTGTGCTATCAAGTGTGTGGTGGTAATAATATAGATTATAAAACGCCTAGAACTTCCCTTTGAGCGGGAATTTGAGCCGTACAAATGCTATTATTATTGCTATTGTTATTATTATTACTTTCATTATCTTTATTATTATTTTTACTATAATAGTATTAATAATAATAATAATAATAATAATAATTATTATTATCCTTGTTATTGTCATTGCCATTATTATTGTTATTATTATTATTATTATTATTATTATTATTATTACTATTTTTTATTATACGTCTTTACCATCAGGTCCAAGGCTAGAGGCGTCATCCTACAGCAGGTATGCATCAGAAGAGGAGGGGGACAGTGACCTCACCAGTATTCTCAGCGCCTTGCCAGTTCATGAGGTCAAGTCAATTCAAGCTTACTCAACAATGGAGAACCCAGATCCTGAGAACGTCATCAAGGTCGGACCAAAGACTTGGAGCCCGTTGAAAAAAGAGGCTGAAGAAAGTATAAACTCTACATATCTTACTAAGTTACTAAGGGGTTTTTATGGGACTTCTAATTCTGAGAATATTCAGAAGGTGGGAGTTACATCTAGGTGTGAAAGAGCAGACGCGGACTCTGAATCTGGGCCTGTCCTAAGCCCGGATGGATTATTACTTTACTCTGAACCTCACGGGGTTCGAAATGAAGAAGACAAAGCAAAGGAGCCAACAAGGGTCGAAGAAAACGGAAACCTCTCTGAGAAATATCTTCGTACTTTTGTCGAAAACTACTCGAAACATGACGAAGATGACAACAGCAAAGACGACGAGGATAAAGACGACAATGATGTCCTCTTTTTTCCTTTCCTTGTTGATGAAAATGGTCACATTTCTATAAAGGATTCTGATAAACGTGGTAGCGAAATGTCGTCTAAGAGTCTGTACTCGCGAACAGATGGTGCCGAGGATGGCAAGCTGCATGGTGATGATGGCGCTGACGGGGAAGATGTTGCCGAAAATTCTGCTGAGAAAGGTGACCGTGATGACAAAGATGTTATCACCAGTTACAGTGGTCCTGAAAAGGTTAAGGACCAGAAAAGCGTTGATGATAAAAATATCTTTCAATCCAAAGAAAGCATCAAGACGGTGAATGTTAGTAATAAAACACAGAACACAAGCTTTGAAGAAGAAACAAATGAAGAGGGTTTCAGCTCCAGCAATGGTCATGAAGATGATAGCAGTCACATCAACAGAGGAAGAGGGCTGAATCAAGGGAGTCCCGTGGACAAGAAAAATCTTGTAGTCCCCCCCAAAATGATGCCACTGAATCACCTCTTTCCAAATGTCTGGAATAATTTCATCTACATCAAGGATAACCAATTCCTCAACCAGAGGGGATTATACAACCATCTAGGTTCAGGAGTACTGCAGCAACCTGGAAGATATAGATCTATGCTCTTAGGAGGTCCCCAACAACCTGACTTCTATCCACAATTCCCACCCGCTTCAGAAAAGTATAAACCTAGATCTCTCCCAGGAAGAAGTTTTTCTAAACAGAAGCATTCAATCCCTAAAGACTACCCCAAAAATAAACGAATTCTTGAGGAACACAAATCCTATGACACACAGCCAGTCAAAGACACAGACCCCGGCATGCAGCAAGACGAACCGATCCCTTCTTTCCGCGCTTGGCAAGGAGAAACTCCTCATCTTCCTCCTGCTAGTTCGTTGACAGAGAGACATCCCTTTTCTCAGCGGCGTCGTTACCATGGTTACGACCCCGTGTCTCTGGCGGATGCACCTTACAAGCCCGAAAATCCCCTCAATCCCAGTTCACGCTCAGTAGAGAGCTACGATTGGCTTGATCCTAACTCAATTGTCCTGAACAGTTTGGATTCTATGAAAAGGTATGCCAGCTCGCAATGGAAGGGTGCTCCTCTTTACAGCCCTTGGACCAGGCAGGAGAAATAAGTTTAATCTCACTCTGCAGTGCAGACTGTTCCAGATTTTTTCTGATTAAAACTTTTTTATACCCTTCCTGTGGTGACCCCACCCCCTAACAATAAAAGGAGAGAGGAAGACAGATTGGGGATGAGAACGATAAAAATGAAAACTTGAAAAAAAATCCTTTTCTATGTTATCTAGTCGAGGTGCATTCGTGTATGAATCTTGCAAATACACGTCTATACACAGCTCTTGCAGTAAAAAAAGACCCACGTCATATTTTGACTCAGAGTGTTAAAATTACATGGGCTACATGCCTCCCGGACACCCCCCCCCCCTCCGAGAGGCTCATATTTGTGGCAGTTGCATTTAGTTTACAGATCGATGGCTGAGCGAAAGAAGTGACTATCTATATCCACTTTTTGATTGAAAAGGAATAATCGATATCGGTAGTGAGATTTTTTAGCCGCTCTTTTACCCCTGTAAATATTTAAGCTTTGGCTTAATTCGGTATCGAGATGGTTTTTCTGAAAATGTTAGAGACATTTCAAAATCGTCACAATTTCAAACCCGCTTTTCTCGAAAAGTGGATACAGTCAATTTTTCGCTCAGCCGTCGAGATGTTTTATAGAACAGAATTCCCATTGACGTCACTGATGCTGTAAAACTGTTAATTGATAATAATAATATGGTCACATGCATCACGCAAGGGAGTACGTGAACGTCTACCGTTTACCGTGGGCGTTGGCTTACGCCCTTCCTTAATGGCTTGAGAAGAAAAAAATTGATAATATCCCTGCGCCCCCTCCCCTCCCCTGAAAATTGTTACTCTCTTGAGTCTACCACTATGCAGGTTATCCCTAAAAAAAAGAAAGAAATTGCCCGACGGGTGGACAACTGTCGATTTTATCGATTCACGTCATTATTTCTTCCTCAATATATAGCTCTGTTAAACTTTAGTTAAAGGAATCAAGAATCCCCC